AAAAAGAAAAAAAAAAAAAAAAAACAAGAAAACCTGCAATATCTGTGTATAGGACAATAAGAGAAAAAAGGTAGACAAGGAGATTAATGAAGAAAAAAAATGGGAAAAATGCAAAATGTAAAACAAGGAACCGGGTTAACCAGAGGAAAAAAAAGACAAAAGAAAAAAAAATTTTGCAGCCATGACTAGAGAAAGAAAAAGAGCTGAAAACTAGGACCTCAGAGGGGAAGAATAAAGAATAATAATAAAAAGTTCAAAGGTATTAATAATAATAGTAGTTTTAAAACAGACAAAAACAAGCAAACTAAAAACCAGAAAACACAGAAAAGAGAAAAAAGAAAAAGAAAAAAAATTGGGGAAGGGTAAGGTAGGGCACTCAGTCTCTGCATGAGCACACAGACTGGAATGGAGTTCCTGGGGTCCCAGAAGGTGGGTGGGAGTGGAGGATGGCCGCACCTCCATTCACCAAGGTGTGTTGGGTATAAGAGTCAAAAAGGGAATGTCGCACCTTTTCAGTCGCCCAGGTCTGGAGTGTCCTTTGGGTTATTGGCAAGCAGAACCTGTTCTTAAGCCCCTGGAATCTCAGATAGCACTGTCTCTTTACATATTCAGAATGTTTAAGCTGCTTGTAAACGTTCAAAATGTTGGCGCCCTCCCGACAGGCAAATGTCCACAGCTCAGCCCGCCTTTCTCTATGCTGGTGCTTCAAGTTTTATTCCCCAGCCACCAGAGCAGTCCTCTGTGCAGTCCCTGGCTAGCAGGGCTGATTTTTAGGTTTATTCTTAGGTCCTACCACCACTCTGTGGCACTCTCCGAGCTGTCTGTGCCGTGCTGTCAGGCTTTCTCAGGATTGCTGCCAGACTCTCTGTATGTCTCCTTTCTTGCTATTTTCATGCAAATTCTTCTGCTAGTTGGGGTTTACTCTACTTCTATATCCTTCCCTTTAAGGCTCAGGGGTCCAGGATTATCTTCTGTGTCTGTGTTAATTGGTTCCCCTATTCTTTGTTGAAGAGGGTCTATGCAGTCTTTCTCCCTATTCCACCATCTTACTGGAACGCCTCTTCCTCTTTTTTATTGACCATCTATTTATCAAACATGATGTTCTTCCTCAGGGACTGAAGAAGTCCCTCCTGATAACATGACCAAAGAACGTGAAACAAAGTCTCGCCATCCTCATTTCTAAGAAGCATCTTGCCTGTATTTCTATCAAGACAAATTTGTTCATTCTTCTGGGAGTCTATGTTGTATTCAGTATTCTTTACCAACATCAAAATTCAAAGCCATCAATAAATAAGTGACGGTTTTTAAACAGTTTTCAGGTGTTTTGTGCTTACTTGAATGCTGCCAATTATGTTTCCTGACAACATTAATTTAAATATAACTTTATGGCATCAAGGAAGACAGATTTTAAACAAACTTTTTAGTGTCTGAAATTACTTAATCAGATATGGTTCAGCTGATTGCTATTTCTGTTTTTGTATTGCAGATTTCTCAGTAGTGATGTCACAAGATTGACCTCCTTGATCACAGTAAGATCAAAATTTAAATAGGCTTTTAAGGAATGTTAGAAAATATTTATAAGAAATAGAGTTACAAAGTGTTTATAATTTTAAATTGCTATTTTTTCAACACCCAGATGAATGTTTTTCAGTGACTCACATCTCAAACTTCTAGTTAGTGATTTAAATACTTCAAAAAATACTGCTTTAAAGGATTTTTAAAATTTTTTAATGAAAATTACTTTTTAATTATAAATGAAGTTACATTCCTAATACATTAAATATTTAAATGTGAATCATTCTCTGAACATTGTGCCTTTTATTTTTAGTTTTTGTTTTTACTGAAAAGTTAGCATAAAGTATAAAGTGACCCCACATTAGGAAAAATTTACATAAGTAAAATTAGTTTAGACTGTAATCCATTATTAAGAAAAGACTATGAAAACATAGCTTAGTAAGGATTTTTGCTACTTAATTTTTTTGATATTTAAATGATTTAGAGGCTTCCACATATGAAGAGTTGTTTACAAAATGATAGTTCTGTTAAGTAAGTTTCCTTTCCCTTTTATTTTTTTTAATAAATATAAATATCTACTATGTATAAGAAAATAATATTACCTCCAGAAAAGCTTTATCAAAGCTTTAATCTACATTATTATAGAATTTTAACACTAAAATCTGAATTGTAATGATGAAATTTTGTATTGTTTTTGAAAAATACTTTTAAATAACAGAAAAATAATGTTGAAGTGTTATTTACTCAGTCAGCTTACTGTGTGAACCAGCTTTATTAATCCTGTTTAATTGTTTAATAAGTATAGAAGTAGTAATTATTTGAAGTGTAAATTGATTAATAGGTAATCTTTGTATTTATGTTTCATCTCTTTATTTCAAGACTGGGTCATTTGTTACACTGAACGTTTTTTTCAGAGGCTAGATAAATGTACTATTGTATTTTTAAAAACTTTATGTCATCATTTAGTGTACTGTTGTTTATGGCACGGTTATACATTTTCCATATGGGGGACATTTTAGCTCTCTGAGATTTGTAGTTCTTTGCTTTTTTGTTTTTTCTTAATCAGAACATTATTATTCTATCAGAATATTTTACAACAAAACTTGGACATATTTCTGTAGTAATCTTCTGTTTCATCTAGTGTTTTACAGTGAAGAAAGTTAAAATGAACATTAGATGACAATGTGAAAAAAAAATTATCAGTGCATTTTTAGGGTAAGATTAAGAGAGCATTTAATGACAACTATTCTGTCATCATTAGTCTGTTGTCCAGTCTATTCTGACTCATCACAACCCCATGTGTGCAGAATAGAGCTGCTTCATAACACTTTTAAGGCAGGCCTTCTGAATCACATTGCCAGGCCTCTATTCCAAAGTGCCTCTGAGGGGGTTCTCATCACCAACCTTTTGGCTAGTTGTCAAGTTCATAACCATTTGTTCCATCCATGGACTCCTGCAACAGCTATACATTTAAGAATTTCACCAGGAGAGATGATTTTTAACTTTATATGTTATATTTGTTAAAGACTAAGAAGTATTCATTACTTTTGAGAGATTCATAAGTGATTGAGATTAGAAACCATTATCTTATAACAATGTCAAATTTGTGAGGTTTTTTTCTAGCCTGTTGAGTCAAGGAGAAGAAAAGGTAGATATTAGCACTGACTCAGTTTGAGGGTGCTAGTGAAAGAGGAAATAGGCACATATATTTGTTATTGACCTTGAGCCTAGAAAGAAGTGAGGCCAGGAAAACAGATAAGTCAAGGGACTGTTTTGAGGTACATAAGATGCATTAATGATATATATACCCCCCGGGGGGGGTCAGTATAAGTCAGAATTGACTCCATGGCAGTGAGTTTGGTTTGGATATATATATATATATATATCATACCAATGGGGGGGTCTATGAGTTTGGCAAACCAAACTCACTGCCATGGAGTCGATTCTGACTCATAGTGACACCCATTGGGTGTCCAAGGCTGCTCTGGTAGCATAGTGGCTAAGACACTTCCCTGCTCACCAGATGGCTGGCGGTTCAAACCCACCAGCCACTCCTCGGAAGGAAGGTTGGGCAATCCTACCTCCGTAGTGAATACTGCCTTGGAAACCCAAGGAGGGGTCGCTACAAGTTGGGTTTGGCTCGATGGCACATAATAACAACAACAACAAATCTTTATGGAAATGATTGCCTCATCTTTCTTCCACAGAGTAGCTGGTGGGTTTGAACTACTCACCTTTTGGTTAGCAGCCAAATGGCTTAACCACTGTACCATTAGACTTCCATATACATGCATGCATTCAGTGGTAGTATGTGCAATTTGTAGAATGTATCATTAAAGGTAGGGCGTGTATTCTCTCTTTATCCCTCCCTTCTTTCCTTGCTGCCTGAAATTGGAACATGGTAATTTCACCATCATTGGACATACAGAGTATGGGCAGAGCAATAAGATAGAAAGTCCCTAATAACTTGACAGCATCACTCAGCCCACACTGGCCTGTCTACATCTGGACTTCTTTTTATGTGCTAGAAATAAATTATCTTTTATAACCCTTGACTTTTGGGATTTCTGTCACTCACAGCTGAAACTAATCCTGGTATGTAAGGTGATTTTACACAACGTTTATACCATTGTTAAAAAGTCTTTAATTGACTTCATTTACTTTATTTGAATTCTGCTGCCACTCTCGATGCTGTAGAAGACGGGGAAAAAGGAAGGAGTCATTTTATCTAGGAGAGAGGGTCAGAAAGCTTCACAGAGGAGAGGGACATCTGAACTGGATTTGTGAAGCATGAGTTAGAAATGAATCCAGCAAGAGGAAGTAGGCACATATATTTGAAAGAACATGTGTTCAGGGATATACAAATATTTATTTAGTTCAATATTGTTCAAATGTAAAATTTCAGGAAATAAATGAGTCTAAAGTTAGATCTTATTGGAATTTATTGCTGGGTACCTTACAGAATCATAATCATTTAAACTTTGTTTTCTTGTTAACTGCTTTTGCTGATAAGTGCATTTTGATACAAGTGTTGAAAATGGTAGATCACAACTGATGCTTACGTATTCACTGCTTTTAAAGGTGCTAGTTTTTTCTTTAAGCCTCATAACAGTTTTAGAAGACATATCATTACACTTCACAGATGATTAAACTGAGACTCAGAAAGGTCAAGTGATTTTCCCAGGGTGTTCTAAGTGGTAGTCACTATTTAAAAGGTAAAAAATGGTAGTCACTATTTAAAAGGGAAAAAAAGTCAACCATCTTCAGAACAACCCTATAATGTATTTATCTTTCTTTTATTTTTCTACTGTTCTAATATCAAAAGTAGAATTGTAGTCAGTTTAAAAATACCTCTGGTGAATCTCCATATTTAATCCTAACTAATAAATCTGAAAACATTAAATTTTTAAGAGCTATAAACTATCTCTTAAACATTTTATTTTCTAAAATCTAAATATTTTGAACAATATCTTAAAAATTAACAGGTGGCAGCCATTTAAATTACTTCATACAGATCTATTTTCCACTGCTATTTTTAAATATAAAAACTCACGATCCCTCCTTGGGTTTCCGACACAGTATCTCTACAGAACTAGATTGCCCAGTCTTTCTTCCGAGAAGTGGCTGTTGGGTTTGAACCGCCAGCCTTCTGGTTAGCAGTCAAGTGCCTTAGGCACTGTGCTACCAGAGCTCCTGATAATAGTGTAGACTATATAAAAAATAGGAGCTCTGGTAGCGTAGTGCCTAAGGCACCTGACTGCTAACCAGAAGGCTGGCGGTTCAAACCCACCAGCCACTCCTCGGAAGGAAGATGGGGCAATCTACTTCCGTAGTGATACCGCCTCGGAAACCCAAGGAGGGGTCGCTATGAGTTGGGTCCGACTCGACGGCACATAACAAGAACAATATAAAAAATAGAAATCTTTACCACAGAAGTATAAGCATTAGAAGCGGAGCTTGAAAATAAAAAGAGAATTCTTGTGTTCACCAGTTACTTTTTTATTCAGCACCTCTGATAAAAAGAATTTGTTAAAGGAAGTAACAGAATGTTTAGCCCGATACCTGATCACACATAAAACAGTTTTTCATGACTTAACTAATCTGTGCATTTTCTACAAACAAAAATTGACTAAGTTTCATGTATCCTCCAATATTTAGTGTTTGTCTAATGGAAATATGGGGAATTCAAGGGAAGAGAAATCAACATGTCTGTTGTTGTTGTTGTTATGTGCCTTCGAGTCAGACCTGACCCATAGTGTCCCCTCCTTGGGTTTCCGAGGCAGTATCACTATGGAAGTAGATTGCCCCATCTTCGTTCCGAGGAGTGGCTGGTGGGTTTGAACCGCCAGCTTTTTGGTTATCAGTCAAGTGCCTTAGGCACTACGCTACCAGAGCTCTTAGAACCTTGAAATTCTGAGAGAGCTGAACTTGATGGGACGTCCTTGTTTTTCTGAGTCTTGTCAGTTTTCTTCCTTTGACAGAACAGTCATAACTTTCTATCACTCTCTACTAGTGAGGAATGTTTGTTTTCCCTCTCTGACAGATGACCACCTTACACAGTATCTCATTTATCTAGTACTGCTGCTGTAACAGAAATACCACAAATAGATGATTTCAACAAAGATAAAATGATTTTTTCACAGTTTAGGAGTCTACAAGTCCAAATTCAAGGTGCCATCACTAGGGGTAGATCCTTGTCTCCTTTCAACAAATGTGGTTTCAGTGTTCCTTGGAGATCTCCATGTGTCTTGGCATCAATCTTTCCCTGGGTCTAGGAGCTCTATGTGGGTCCAAAAGATGCTCTTTATTCCCAGCTCTTCTTTCTTGGTAGTAGTGAGGTCTCCTCTCTCTGCTTGCTTCTGTCTCCTTTTATCTCTTTGTAAGGTGTGACACAAGCAAAGGTATGACTTGAGTGAGGATGTTACTTGACTCATGGCATCTTGTAAGGCTGTGACTCAAGATACACTCCACAATGATCCTGCCTCGTGAGCACATAAAGGTTAGTATTTACAAC